CAAACCTGCATCTCCTGTATTGCAGGTGGATTCTTCTGGATTGGCCAAATGTGACAGTTTGCAGCTTTGGAAACAGCAATGTGAAATGGGTTAAGCTTTCACAAATCCTGCCTTCCTTTCACAAATCCAGCTTTCCTGAGCCATGATGCTCCATAGAAATATCCTGCAGGACACAGATGTCATTTTAACTCTTCTAAGACCCACACATTTTAAAAGTACAAAGAGGTAATGAAATTATTTTTAAAATAAAGTTCACTTAATGCAGTAGATCTGAAATATTATGGCCTTAAAATGAATAGAACAACATATTACTGGGACAGTTTGGATTTTTTTTTTCATATAGTGTTTGAAACCTGATGTGGTTTTTACACATGTAGCATATTTCAGTTTAGTTCAAAATTTGGTTTCAGTCTCAATAGTCACATTTAAAATGCCCAACAGCCACATGTGGCCAGTGGCCTGTCTACTGGCCAACACAGAGACACAGGCTCTGGTCAGAGGCACTTCCATGCAGCCACTGCTGACACAAAGATGTATAGCTGACAGTGTTGTTTTATGGGTCAAAGACGATGTGATTCAATTTAAATGGTTCCTGGACACTTTGACAGGCTGAGGGAGAGATCGGCATATCTTTCTCATCTTTAAACCTCCCCTTGACGTCCTTTTCGTGTCTGTTTTCATCCTCCCGGGGTGGAGTCCGTTGCAAGGACCCAGTCATGCTGAATGCCTCGTCCCGTACCATGGGAGCAGGTAGAGAAAAAGCATTGAGGTTGACTCTGAACTCAAGGGATTTGCCTTCGGGAAGAAGAGGTTGTATCAAAACAAAAGGATGGGCAGGTCCCATCAGACAGCATAGAGTCTGACGTCAGGTGAAATGTGATTAAATGCCCAAGTGAAAGGTGCTTGGGGGTCGAGAGGGTGGCCGCACTCACCGGGACAATTTCTAGGGAAAGGCAGGTCCTTCAAGGCTGACTAGGGCTCCTGCAGGCCCAGAAGAAGGGCATCTGGGGAAAGGTACTATGGGGGCCCCGCGAGCATCCCCCCATCCATGCCCACGAAGCCGGGAGTGACGTCGGCACCTGCCTTGCTCTGTTCAGTTCAGTTCAGTTCAGCCGCTCAGTCGTGTCTGCCTCTTTGCGACCCCACGGACTGCAGCACGCCAGGCCTCCCTGTCCATCACCAACTCCCGGAGTTTGCTCAAACTCATGTCCACCGAGTCGGTGATGCCATCCAGCCACCTCCCTCTGCCGTCTTCTCTAGTCAAGGAGCAGACTGGAGCTGCTGTGCCTCTCGGCCGGCCGGGCCTGCCTTCTTCCCCGAAAGCCTCCGCTCCCCTCGTGCCCTCTGTCTCAGCCTTCCCTCTCCTCGCCCGCCGTGCAGCCGTGAGCGCAGCAGACTAGCTCCCCATCTTCTGGGGGGACCTGCTTCTAGCCCCCACGCGGTGGGCGGGGCCCTGTGACCAGCTCTGGCCGGTGAGCCAAAGCACTCAACGGCCGACGCGGGGCCTCCAGGACGTCCTCCAGAGAGATGGGCTGAGATGGCTGCTCCGTCAGTAACCGCAGGGATTCAGCCTTTGTGCTGACTTCAGACGGGCACATCCTGGGAGGCAGGACTGCACTGTGGGGGGTTTCAATTCTGTCCCATCGACGTTGTCCCCACAATTCGACCTCGCCAGTCCTGAGTGATACAGCCCCTCCACTGGGAGGGCGCTAGGGTTAAATAGAATGGACAGCAAACCAGTCAATCCCAGAGAAAATCAACCCTGATTATCACTGGGAGGACTGATGCTGAAGTAAAGCTCCAACACTTCGGCCACGTGATGCGAAGAGTCAACTCATTGGAAAAGCCCCTGCTGCTGGGAAGGATTGGGGGCAGGAGGAGAAGGGGACGACAGAGGATGAGATGGTTGGATGGCATCACCGACTCGATGGATATGAGTTTGAGCAAGCTCCAGGAGATGGTTAAGGATGGGGAAACCTGGCGTGCTGCAGTCCACGGGGTCAGACACAACTGAGGTAATGAACAAGAACCACTGAGAGAGGCTGGGACACATGGATTGGGGCGGAGGGGCCTGGGGGGTCATGTCTTAAGTATACATCAAAAACCTTGGAATGCCTTGCTCTCTGCTGAGGGGAATTCCCTCCACGGTCACCTAAGAACTTAGGAGGCTCCTTCCAGGAATCGGAGGCTGGGGATCCAGACAGACCCAGGTCTGGTGCCCAGCCCATTGTCCATCCCATCCCACAGTGGGGGAGCCAGGCAGGGTCAGCACTCAGTGATGGGTACGTGGGGCGGAAGGGGGGACGAGACCCCAGATCTGTCTCAGGGAACGAGAAGGAAGAGGACGGGGCTCAGACCGCGGTGCTGAGGAAGCGAAGGACGTGGGGCCAGCGAGGGTCGTGCTTTCCCTGGACCACCGCCCAGAAGGGCCCTCTTCCTCCGTGACCCTGTAGCCACGCTCCTTCCCAAGCCCTCCCCGTCCCCGCTCACCCCTCCCAGACCGTCCTGAGTCACCTCCAAGGTGAGGGACAGGTCTCCCACGTTCAGTCCATCATTTAACACATAGGCGTTGAAGACCCCAGTGTGCTTGGCTTCTGGATACAGAAGTGTCCCGATGTACTTCTGTCCCTAAGGAGTTCCATCTGGTGGGGGAGAGAGACGAGGTCTAAGCCCTGGGAAAGACCTCCAAAGGGGGCTGCCGGGAGCACAGAGCAGTCAGGGAGGGCTTCCCAGGGGAGGTGAGCAGCAGCGGCGGGCAGAGCTGAGGGAGGGGCCGTCCAGGCACAGGCAGTGAGGAGGACACAGGAGAAAGGGCAGAGCTGGGCTGTTTGGAGAAGGCTAAGTGTCTGGGCGGGAGTGGCCCAGGAGGCCCTGTGGGCGAGCAGTAAGATATGAGGCTGGAACGGAAGGGGCAGGACCTGGTCACCAAGGGCCCGGTAACCATGGCGATGGGATGCGCACAGGCCAGCCAGGAGCTGCCGCAGAGACTCCAGCAAGGAGCGCCTTGACCAGACTCGTGTGCAGTTGGAAGGGCGTGGGGGGGAGTTATTTAGTGAGCTGGCAGACAGGAAGCGACCTTTGTTGAGGGTTTATTTGTGCGTCTCATGTGTTTATTTGTGTTCAGCAAAACCCGCCCTGGCACAGGTGGTGGGGGAAGATGAGCCCGGGGCCGAGGGCAGCAGGCGGGAGGGGGATGACGGAGGCTTTTGACAAACTGCACACACTTGGTTTGCTCTGGGCGAGGGGCCAGGGAGCGGCGGGAGGGGCGGGATGGTGGAGAAAGAGACCCCGTGAGATGAGGAGTCAGAGGCAGAGAGGGAGCAGCCGGGACAGAAGCTCTCCAGGAGGGAAGGCAGCGAGGAGGAGGCGCAGAAACGGGGACCAGCCTGGACTCAGCATGGCCGAGGCTCTTCTGCAGGCGTGCTGGGAGCTCAGTCCACAGTCCTGTCTTACGCTTTGCGACCCCATGGACTGTGGCCCGCCCGGCTCCTCTGCCCAGGGGATTCTCCAGGCAAGAATTCTGGAGCGGGGTTGCCATGCCCTCCTCCAGGGGATCTTCCCAACCCAGGGAGTGAACCCTTGCGTCTCCTCCATTGGCAGGCGGGTTCTTTACCACTAGTGCCATCTGCAACGAGGGATGTTTAATTTAATTTAATTTTATTTTATTTAGTGTGTAAGTCAGTGGTCCCCAATCAGGGGCGGGTTTCGCAGAAGACAATTTTTCCACAGACCGGGGTTGGAGGTGAGGGGGTGCAGGCAGGGATGGTTTCCAGATGATTCAAGCACATTACATTTACTGTGCACTTTATTTCTATTACTATTTACATTGTGATATATGACGAAGTAATCACACAGCTCGCCATAATGCAGAATCAGTGGGAGCCCTGAGCTTGCTTTCCTGCACCTAGATGGTCCAATCTGGGGGCGATGGGAGAATGACGGGGAGCGGCTGTAAACAGATGTGCGGCCTGTCTCCTAACAGCCCCCGGGCGGTTGGTGGCCTGGAGGCTGGGGGCCGCTTGTTTACATCATTAACAGCACTGGACGTCGGGGTCCTCCTACCCCAACGCCGACGCCCACCAGTCCTCATCAGAATGACTTCTGTGTGGGTGTGGGTCACACCACAGGTCCAAAGAGGATCCAGAGAAGTCAGGAGAAGCGAGAAACGGGGGTAAGGTGACACGGACCTTCCGTGACAAGGAAGGCCCCCCACGGAGGATTACTGGAGATCCTCCCAGTGGGGGAGGGGGGTTTCATCATGTGAGCCAAATTTATTTATCTATTTTTAAAAATTTTGGCCACACCCCATGGCATATGGGACCTCGGTTTCCTGACCAGGGGTCAAAACCTGGGCCCCCTGCAAAGGAAGGTGGAGTCTTAACCACTGGATTGCTCAACAAGGCCCCTAATTTCCTTAATGTAATAAAGAAAATGATGACCAAGAAGGTGATAGCCACTTAGGCTATAACACCACTTTGAATAAGAAAATACAGGTAAAGCAGTATTTTCTTTAGAACACCTCGGTACAGACATAAGAGGTATATGTATATGCAACTTAAACCGATGGCCAAGTGGGACGGGGAGGCAGTAAACGTGGGAAGGACCCCAAGTTTCAAATGTCGCTTCCTAAATCTTCCCCGGAATTTAATTAAGAAATATGAAAAATACATCTTTTGGCTGAATGAGCAGTGTCCATGATACGTGCATGGCTAGAAAGATACATACAAGCACGTCTTCATGTTCACAAGAAAGCAGCGTTAGAATCTATCGCTTTGGGCCTAGAGACTTGGTCTTGTTCTCTCCTCGCCCATCCTCAATACTCTTAGAGGATTCTGTCACCTCATTAGGTAAAACAGTTAGTTCTGCCATGAGAATATTATTGCACTTGCCTCAGATGAACCCAAGTTAATTAGGGTACCCTGTAGTAACCAATGGCTCCCTCCTTCCACCCCAAAATGCACTGGCTTAAAGGGTGAGACTACTCTCTCAAATAACCACCTCTACCTAGATGAAAGGCCAGGCTGATTCAGGGATGCGGGTTCCTTCCTGGTACTTTCTTCTTGGTACAGTTTCATCCCTAGAGTATTGTCTTCCCAGGCCAGAGCTGAGTTGTGGGATCTCCATGTTTCTCCGTTTTTCTTTCCCTTCCTACAGAAAGGGAAAAGAAGGAAGTCTGGGTGCATTTGGTCATGTTGGTCGACTTCTAAGTTGCAGTAGAAGTTTTCGATTGTTGTTTTGGTTGGATGAGTTGGGCTGTCTCTCAGAAGATAGCCTGGGAATGGACTGCCTCGCTTGTGCTCACGTTTCACTGGCTTGGACTTCGTCATGAACCACCACCCCGGGTGGAGGAAGATGAGAGCAGTGAGGTCCCGGGTTCAACAGCATCCGCCTGCTTCAGTTCTGTTACCGCGAAAGGAGGGAGAGTGGACTTTGGTCTCTCTGCCTTGGAGCTCTTCCTCAAGGTTCTCATCAAAGGGCATAAAAGGGCAGAGGACTGGGACTTCACGGGAACAGGCAGCATCTAGACTTGTGCCTGTGACGCGTGCGTATCTGTCTCTCTGTGACCCATGGACTGTGGCCCGCCAGACTCCTTTGTCCATGGAATTTTCCAGGCAAGGATACCGGAGTGGGTTGCCATTTCCTACTCCAGGGGATCTTCCCAGACCCAGGGGCTGAACCCACATCTCCTGAGTCTCCTGCATTGGCAAGTATTATTTCACACCAGGCCACCTTGGGAAGCCCTAATGTTTGTAGCTGTGGCAGGATTTGATCTCAGAACTGCCTTCATTATTATTTACTTGATGGCCAGGTTGTGGATAAGAGCCAGCTGTTCTGAGCATGGGGTGACCAGCATCAGCTTGTTACGCAGTGCGGGACCAGGGTCCCACCCCTGAGCTGCCGAGTCAGAATCGGCCCTTTAACTACATCGCCAAGTGATTCCTGGAGAAGCACAGTCTGCCCGCACCTCTACTTGATCTTGACTTCAGCCTCTTACATGGACAGTTTTCCACTGATTTTTTCCAGCTGGAAAAGTTCGGGCAGCACCCATGACAGTGTTTTTCAAACTGTAAATGAGGACCTACTAGAGAGCAGTGACATCATTTTAGCAGATCCTACCCAGTATTGAAAGAAAGGCAGAAAAGACAGAACAAAGAGAAAGCGTCACACTGAGGATGAGCATTGTTTTCAGTTACAGATAACTTGGAGATGTGTCAGGGCAGGTCACCGCCAAAAACTACAGAGTCATTTGAAAGTCACAGACGTAGGAGGCAGGGGTGTGCGGCAGGGAGTTCACAGACTTAGTGGCCAACAGTCCTGGGGTTGAATCCCACCTCTGAACAGCATGACTGTGGTCAACATCGAGCCTCATTTCTTCCTGTGTGAGACGGACTTCCCAGGTGGCGCTGGTGGTGAAGGACTCCTGCCGACGCAGGACACATGGGAGACACGGGAGACATGGGTTTGATCCCGGGGTCAGGGAGATCCGCTGGAGGAGGACACGGCAACCCACTCCAGTATTCCTGCCTGGAGAACCCCACGGACAGAGGGGCCTGGCGGGCTGCAGTCCGCGGGGTCACACTCCAGTGAGACCTAAGTCCTGAGTCAGACAGGACTTGGCGACTACGCACAGCAAAGTGGGCCAGTGCCAGCCTCTTAGGTTGCGGCACTCACCAGGGGCCGGGCATAAATCGCTTGCGGGTCCCTGGCGGCGTCCTCTTTCTTTTCAGGAGCAGAGTGGCTCGCCTGGGGCCTGAACGAGTCAGGATCCCCGCCTCTCTGGGTCTCAGGTTCCCTGTTTGTAAAGGAAGGCGCCTTGGCCTGGAAGGTGCTCTGCGCTGGGGCCCCGCAGGGACTGCGTCCCGAAGGCAGGTGCACGTGGCGTGTGTGTGTGCGCGCGTGTCGGGGGTGGAAGGACCCTCCTCCGGCCTCAGAGCCCTGCCGGCGCCGGGCTGGCGGATCCCACCCCGCGGCAGGGACGGGCGGGCCTCCCCGGGGCCCCGGGCGCGTCCGGCGGGCGGGCCTCCCCGGGGCCCCGGGCGCGTCCGGCGGGCGGGGCGGCAGCGCCACCGTGTGGCCGCGCGGCGTCAGGCCGCCGAGCCTCGCCGGGAGGGAGCGGGCGCCGTGGGGGGCGCTCGCCCGGCCACCCCGGCCCTTCCCGCCGCCCCGGCCACCCCGGCCACCCCGGCCCGGTCCCGCCGCCCCTCTGTGGAGCCGCCTGCGCTCGCAAGGTGGGGCGGGCGCGTTCCCCCCCGGGGCCCCACCTGGGAGAGGATGCGGATCCCGACAAAGGCCCGCATCCAGCCCCCGTATCTCCTGGTAGGAGGGCGCTGGTCTTGGAAGGCGGGAGGTCCAGGCTTCGTGACCCTGCCGCCCCTCTAGTTTTCCCCTTCCCTGTGGATCGAACCACCCCTACCAGGGTTTGGGCTCTGCGTTTCCTCTTGGGTCCCGCAGCGGAAGGGGAAGCCGTGGGCAGCTCCCCGCCAGGGTGTCCGGATGGACTTGGCTCGGGAAGGGCAGCCTGGCCTCTCCTCGGGCAGCAGAGGTGCCAAGGGGCCCTGATTCCAGGAATGATAGCCGCCCCCCCCCCCCCCAACCTTGCCGCCTCCCACCCGGCACAAGCCTCCATTCTTTCCAGAGCCCGAAGCTTTCAGGTGCTTTGGCCTCTGAGGTCAGAGATGAAGCAGGAGCAGGAGAATTCAGAGACACCCGGGGCTCCCCCCACCCCCCTACTGTGGGAACGCACCCTCCCTCCAAGCCCACTTTAACCTCTTATTTATTGAGGTTCACCCTGGGCATAGCCCTTGGGCTAAATTCCCCCCAGAAAGGAATCCTTTGGGCATTTAACAAAGTATAGCTGAGAAAGATGAGGTCAGAACAGAGTAGGTCATTGGCACAAGGTCGCCCTGTTAATAAGGCTCCCAGGCGGCCCCAGTGGTAAAGAACCCACCCTCAAAGCAGGAGATGTAAGAGACGGGGGTTTGATCCCTGGGTTGGGAAGATCCCCTGGAGAAGGACATGGCAACCCATGCCAGTATTCTTGCCTGGGGAATCCCATGGACAGAGGAGCCTGGTGGGGTACAGTCCGTGGGGTGGCAAAGAGCTGAAGCAGCTTAGCACGCACCCTGTTAGTAACTAACAGACAAGAAAACCCCAGGTCGGTCGTCTTTCTCCCAAGACCATCACCATTTGAAGAAGGCATCTTTTGCTTCTGCACCCCTGGCCTAAGCGGGGGCAAGGAGCTCTTTATTGAGCCGAATCAGAGAAACACGGGAGCTGGGAAGAGAGCTCCCATCTTCTCTTCCAAGAGAAAGGTCTTGGCGAGGGATGGGTCTTGGCACCAGGCCCACGGTCCCTACGCCCCTGGCAGGAGCGCCCCACCCAGCGGCCTCGTCTGCAAGATGGAAACCCAGGAGGGGGCTTGTCGCCCGTATTCTCTCCTATAGCTGTCCGTCTTGACCATTCCAACTCCCGCACGTGGGGGAACAGGAGAGACAAGGTCCACTGAAACCTGAGGCTAATTACCTGGCCTGTTGAAGGGCTTCTGGAGGTCACACCTGGGGGTCGTGATCAGGATTAACTCTGGACTTGGTGCAAGTTACTTATTTACAACTTTCTGAGTCTGCTCTCCCTTGTGACTACTAACAACTAATGCTTTTAAAGCACTTGTCAAATCTAAACAGAATCTGTGAATTATCACAGTGTTTACAAAAACATCGTAAGTGGTATTATTAGCCTCATTGTCCATAGGAGGGAATTGAGGCCGGAGAAGTTAAATATCTTGCCTAGGACTTTCCTGGTGGCTCAGCAGTAAGAGAATCTACCTGCAAAGCAAGAGGACTAGGTTTGATCGCTGGGCGGGGGAGATCCCCTGGAGAAGGAAATGGCAGCCCACTCCAGTATTCTCGCCTGGAGAATCCCATGGACAGGGGCCTGGCGGGCTACAGTCCACAGGATCGCAAAAGGGTCAGACACGACTGAGCAACTAAACAGGCAACAACAATGGGTCCCAGAGACAACAGGCAGCAGCGTCAGGCCTCATTCCCAGCCTTCCCGGGTCCAGGTGGCCCTTCACCCACCGCGCCACGTGGAGACACCCGGAGCCTCGCTTAGGGGTTTTCTGAAGCCAGAGGAAGCAAAGCTGTGCCCTCAAGGAAACAGCAGTTTTTGTAACCGTCCTGTCAGAGTCCTCTGTTTGTAGAGCCAAGAGTTTTGTTCATACCATTCACGAGAGAGAGAAAGGAACCTTAAAAATGAATTCTCCCTTGTGCCTGTTCCTGAGACTTTCCTGTGGAAGAAAGACACTCTCTCTGCTTGAAAGTCATATCTTTTCATCCTGTATGATGTAAGACAGAGATCAATGCAAAGTCTCCACCCTCCCAAACACTTCAGTCTTTTTATTCTGCCTGGAGTTATACTGCTGTCGTGATTAAAAAGATACCCACCCTTCCCTAGCTTTTTAAACAACATCAAATAAACCAAAATGTCAGCGTATCTCTGTGTACCCCACCAGGGATAGTTAGGTTGGGCAGCAGACTGTACTTTCTAAAAGTGATCACCCCAGTGCATCCCATCACTGTGGTCTTCAAATGAAACTGGGACGCTCCCCTTGAACCCGGGAGACCTGGGCTACCTTCTCTGTCTGCCATCCTCGACCCTGAGTGGACTGCTGTGATTACCTTGACCTGTTAATTGTGGCAGAAGTGATGGTATCCATCTCTTGAGGCTGGACCAGAAAAATGCCTTGAGAGTCTGCCCGGTTCCCTTAGGACACCCGTTTCTCGAACTTGCTGCAAGTTCTGGAACTAGCCCCAGCTTTCCAGCCTCCCCGCTCCGTTCCCCAGCTGATGGAGCAAAGATAAGCTGACGCTACCAAACTCTGCCCAAACTGAAGATTCAGGAGCAGAATGAGCGATTATGTAGTTGGAAACCTTCCGCCAGGGAGGTTTGTTACACAACAATACGTGCCCGGCCCGGGTCCTCTGCCCTTTTCGCCCTGTTAGGAACCGTTCTCCACCGGACTTCTTTAGACCTGTCACCTTCTGTGCATACCCAAAGCTTTCCCTAGGGAGACATCTAGAAGCAGCGTTGCTGGGCTCTAGTGTATTTCATTAATGGAATCACACACGGAATAAAAGCGTGAAAACATACATGGGACTGACCCACTGGAGTGTGAGCCCTGACGCGTGGGTTTCCTCGTGGTAACACAAGCGCCTGACTTCAGCTCCCATTGCTGCGGCATCCACTCTGACAAAGCTGATCTTGAGTAAACACATGGCCAGACAGTCACCCACCTACCCCTCCTGAAGGTCTTTTGTTTTACTTGATTTAGTTTTCTTTTTGTCGATGTTGATAACTCACCACTTGGGCGACTTGTTTTCTCTCTTCCTGTGTTTTAAATGGGCTTCTCAGGTGGCAGAAGGGTAAAGAATTCGTCTGCCAAAGTGGGAGACATGAGTTCGCTCCCTGGGTCAGGAAGATCCCCTGCTCCTTTGGGAGGAGGAAATGGCAACCCACTGTAGCATTCTTGCCTGGGAAAGCCCATGGACAGAAGAGCCTGGTGGGCTACAGTCCATGGGGTCGCAGAGTTAGACACGGCCGAGTGAGACAGTGCGCATGCACGTGCTTTAAATCCCTGTTCTTGGGTTCACATTCACCAGTAAGGAGCGGGCCTTTAAACCCCAGGCCCCTGTCTTTGACCCCA